TTTTAGAAAACACAATAAATTAAATTGGAGGAGAACTTATTGATGCCAAAAATCTACATTAACTGTCGGAAATTAAGTTGCGATCATATTTTAGAATAAGAAGCGCTGATAGCCCAATACGTATTTCAATAACAATAAATTGATGTCTTCAGTACACTAAAAACAACATAGTTGAATTCATTGGCATCAGCCCGTCTTCACTAACTTACAATAAAAGTTAACCAGTGAAAACTGAGAAAACCGGAGCATAGTGATAATATGTATATCTAAACTAATAGGAATGAGTAAATTCAAAACCAAGACAAAACTAAAATATAATCGTCGTATTGATCTAGAAGATTTACATTTGCCTTTGGTCTTTTTGGCTTTTCGACAGTATCACCTGACCTTGGTTTTCATATATACTTGCGAGATCGATTCTTCTTTATTGACTAATGACAGCAGTTCAGAAAAATTAAAATTATATGCAGCATGAGCACCGTTCGTAACATAGGTACCATTGCCAAATTTTGGCTTCATTGGTTATCGCAAAAATGATTTTTAATCGAACAAAATAGTTAATGCTAATTCCGTTTTATAATGAAACTGTCGCAAAAAATGCTGGATTTCTAATGATAACGCAATTTGTTTATATTTACATACACGAAATTTTGATTGAGTAATTTCAATTTATTTCGTTACTAAATTAGAATATAGGTTACAATGTTGGAAGACTTTTCCTAAATTAAGTTTTGCTGTTGGTTCTGCTTGGCACCCAATTACCCCTAATTATAGACGTTCAAATACGATGGAACCCTGAAGTCAAGTAGAAGTAAATATTTCTATGAATTTATTGTTCAACAGAACGATGTTCTCACATGTTCACAAAATGGGTAATTGTCCAGAATTGGTGCTCCAGACCAAAATCGCTCCAAAAATTTTTCCATCGATTTCTGGTCATTTCTGAGGGTTCAATGATTATATTTGAAGCGAGGGAGGCTTTTTTTTATTACAGCATACATCATAGGGTATATATACGGTGAATGTATACCTATTTCTTCTTTTAATATTAATAAAAGAATTTTATACAGTGGAAATCGTGAGATAAGGAGATTTTATTTCATCATCATCATCATAAGGTCGTCACTGGTCAAGACTGGTTGGACACGTACCTCCACTCCTTCCTATCCTGAACTAAACTTCGCATTTCCCTAAAACTAGAACATCCCACATCCTTAACTATTTGCGAACAGTAATCTAACCTAGGTCTACCTCTACCCCTCCTAGCTCCTGTTTCTACCTCTAATATGTCTCTGACTAGACCTTCATGCCTGAGAAGGTGTCCTACAAACCGATCTCGCCTATTTTTTATTGACTTCCATTGAGTCCTCTGTGCTCCTATTATTTCTAATACCTCTTCATTTCTTACGTTTTCTACCCACGTTATCCTCATCATTCGCCTATATCTGATTCTATTATGTAGAATGACCGGAAATCGATGAAAAAATTTTTGGAGCTAGCCCCAATTCTAAATAATTACCACAAAATGTTTCCACGTCTTCCTGTTTTCATGAAGCACATAACATCGCCCCTGTAGGTACATTAAATCCCATCGAGATGTGGATAAAATCTGCGATTACTGGTTGTACTCGAGTTGGGTTTTGTACCTGGTGCATATGCATACGAATTCGTTCTTTTTCTGTAGCCGTTTTCATATTTAGCTCGGGAATGAATGAGTCGTCGGTTTAATAACTCGAATATATATGTATATGAGCCGTTCCGTTCGTTCAAAGTTGCGTCGGTGTATCTCAATTTTAATCATAATTTCAAAGCTTTGCCGAGTCCCGTCTATGCTTCACAGTCATTTAGGCGAGAACAAGCGGGGATGCAGAGAGATCACAGAAGATGTGCTTAACAAAACATCGTGTAGCAACAGTGATGCAGTACAAAGTCAGAAAAGAAACCCTACATTAAAATTCCTCTAAAATTTCGCTGCAAATTGAACCTCTTTTCAGGGTATCATTCATGCTGCCTGCGCCTGGCGCTAAATAATAACCATGGCCCCTCGAAACCGAGGGCACGACGCCAACAATGCTACCGACTCGAGCGAAAACTCGTTCTTTTAACCGACCCCTCAAGTGCCGTATTGTACTTACATATACCAAGTACTTACAAGCACAGTCTGTCCCAAATTCTCCATCAACATTTAAAATACGTACAGATACAGATACATTCTTTTATTCGCCATTTGCTCTTTTGTACCTCGAATTCTGAAGGCCCATCAACACTTTGGTTTAAAATCCCTAAATCCAAACCTATTTACCACAATAACAACATTTGAAGCTAACTTCATTTCATGGTTTTTGAAGGTATTTTTTCACAAAACTCAAAAAGTGGTAGCTTTGCCTCAGAAACTTTAAAGTTCAGCTCCGCCGTCTGACCAGTTGTTCCTTTGTTACCGTTTGTGATACATCTGGAACCCAGTCATTAAAATGGAGCCGTTCTAAATGAATGTATACTAATTTAGAAGGGAGCAATGATTTTTCCATTGATCTTCATTCGCCAAAGCAATTAATGAAAAAAAAGATTCAAATACTGTACAGTAACTGCTAATAACTACTGTCTATCATTTTCAGTCTGAGACTAACGACTCCAAAAATCCTTAAATCCAAACATGTTTGCCACAATAAGAACATTCGAAGCTTATTAAAGTACGTATAATCACCCAGAATTGTTAACTGAAAAAAGAAGAAACGCTGAACCTTATCCTGGTTAATGCTCTTGATTTATTTGCAAAACAATTCCAACGTTTCGCTCCTGGTTTGGATAAAGCCTCGATAAAGTTCCAAATCAGGAGCGAATCGTTGACAATGTTTTTCAAATAAGTAAAGAGTATTAACCAGAATAAGGTTCACAGTTTGTTCCTTTTTCAAATTGAAACTAAAAAAGTAGTATACTTCATTTACTTTCTCTAGCGATGTTCCCCTTCCAATGTATTGGATGCGCGTTGGCAAAATCGTAGGTAAGGAGAAAAAAGCTCATTGTACTCTCGACTCTTGTTCATTTAACATACTTTTTCATACAGTACCTGCCAAAAGTTTTGTTCAATCATGAATGGTAGTGCGAATCGAAAACAAGCGTTAAAGCCTTTAATATGTCTTCAAATATAAATAAACATCTCGTTGACATTTTAAGTACTAATTGGTACCAATAACAGCACATTTGAGCAATGCAATTGTAGTAGATAAAATGGTCAATTTTTCCGTGCAGTACTGTACGGAATATACGCTCCTCACCGGTTAAGAGTTTGGTCGAGAGTTGTCTCCTTCCTTTTCTGACCTAGAGCTGTCCTTTTCTACTTTGCGCCGGTCAAACTGAAGGTCACATTGCTACAGAAAGTAAACAAAGTATAGCTTTGTTCGAGAAACTTTAACGTCTGATAACAGCAGCTCCTTTGTTACCATTTGTGGTACATCTGGTTCCCAATCATTAAAATGGAGTCGTTTTAAATAAATGTATATTAATTTAGAAGTGAGCAATGATTTTTTTTCCATTCATCTTCACGTAGCAAAGCAATTAAAGCAGAAAAAGAATTCAAAATACAGTTCAGTAACTGTTCATAACTACTATCATTTTCAATCTGACACTAACGACCCCAAAAATCCATTATTGTCGGGACGAATTTTGCCGTATATAGCAACGTACGGTCGAGCGAACGCAAAACGACGTAAAAAACGGGCTTTTTACATTAAGCTAATCAGTTACCGAGTGAGGCATCTACTCTATTAGGGCCATCTTTTTAAATAATCCATTCATTTTTGACCATTAGCGTTAAAAATGAAGTAGAAATTAATAAAAATATGAGGCCCGCTCTCTCGAAAAGAGACCCCGCCATATGTTTTCGCCAGACTAACGAATCATCATCCTGCTTTAACACGTTCGGAGTAAAAATGTGTGTTGGCCATTACGTTGTGATGTATGTAAATTTACAACAACGAAAGCTGTCCCCTGGTGCCACCGACTCTCACCACCATCACTACCAACAACAACATCATCATCGCACGGCTTGGCACCCTGGGTAATTCCTCAATTTCAACGCGCCATGACCAACCGCGAGTTATATATTCCACTCACTCCACGATGACAAAACTGTCAGGAATATTCTGTCAAAAATTACGAACCGGGAAACTACTTTTTGTTACCACATCAAACCGTATGAAATTGAGTACACTTCTTTTTTTCCAACAGCTTCGTAATCATAGGGGTGTAAATACAGGGTGATTTGAAACTGTTGTAATTTATGGATTCAAATATAATTTAAATTAACCAGGAATACTATTCCTTACGCATAAACGTAATTGTATTTGGTAAAGAACAACCAAATTACCAGAGTGTAGGTACCCTCATAGGTAAAAAAATATTGCTTTAAAAAGATAAGATAAAAAGTTTCAATTACACCCTTAACTATTGGAAGATCGGAAACAAGTCCAAACAAACAAATGGTAATCAAAATGCTACAAAATTTACCTTCATGTACAACAGAAGCAATTGCAAAATTTTCATAAAATGCCCGCGCACTTTCTAAAATATCCACACGCATTCTATAGAATGTTCGGACAATTTTTGGAAAATAAAAATAAAAATGATTTAAGTAAACTTCTGTTTTTCCCCCATAGGTTTATAAGAAATATTGCTTTAAAAAGTTATGAAATGTTCTGTACGAAGGTTTACAGAATCTGTCTTTTAATTAATTAAACTACAATTTTTTTAAAGATCATTCCCGAAAACTAAAACACCCCTAACCCCTTATGTCTATCTATTTACGAACAGTGATCTAATCTACATATTTATCTACCCCTCTTTACTCCTGTTGTTACTTCCAATATGTCTTTAACTAACCCTGCCTACAACATTAAACACATCCTTTTTACAATTATCAAGCATGATGATCCAGAAATTAATGAAATTAATAATATTTATTTTGAATTCTAAAAATCTTAGCAAGTTGGATCAACAAACAATAATTTTTTGACGTTTTGTCATTTACAATTTGTTCATATTGTATTGCAATTTTACATTTATTTTGCAGACTGGTTCAACGAGTAAGATAATGGTAACAGAGTGCGTTTTACTGGGTGTTTTTTATATATTCGCTTATTTTTACACGGATTATATCGTTCGTTTTCCGTTTATCCACAAGTGCCTTTAAAAAATCAAGTAAATCGTTCATTTAAGTCAAAATGGTATATCCGCACGTATTTAGAACGGAACATAGCGAAACTAGAACCACAAATGGGGAGTACGGGGAGTTTTTTGCTAAAACGTTAGAAACAAAAATGAAAATTCAACCGTCGTTATTGAAGATACTTCAGTATACAGATTCGAACAGAGAAAAGTTTGTAGAAGATCTAAGAGAGTTCCTCACCATTAAATCTATCTCGGGAACCCTTGAAAACTTAGACGATGCTAATCAAATGGTTAAATTCGTCGAAAAATGGATGAAGAAATTGGGCGTCAAGTACGAATGCTTTGATATTGGCACGACGGAAATTGAAGGAAAGAAAGTTTCAATAACACCGGTGATTATTGGAAGATTGGGAACAAGTCCTAACAAACAAACGGTAATCGAAACCTTACAAAATTTACTTCTATGTGGGCCCGATAATTATGTTTGTAAAAACAGAAGAAACTATAAAATTTTCATAAAATGCCCGCGCACTTCATAAAATATCCACACATGCATTCTATAGAATGTTCGGGCAATTTTTGAAAAATAAAAATAAAAATGATTTAAGCAGAAAACGTTATATGCCAAATTATACGTACTGTATGGAGTATTTAGAAGTGATTCCTAATTTTAACCCGTTTATTTTGGTTTGAAGTTTTTTTTACTAATATTCGAAAGACATCAGTTTATATTATTAATTTTTCTATTCATTTAGCTTCTTATTTACGCCTACTTGGACGTCAAGAATCCAGATATGGAAAAATGGGAGACAGACCCCTGGGATGCAGTTTTAAAAAACCAAAAACTGTACGGCAACGGGGTGGCAGGTGGCAAAGGTCCTTTAGTCTGTTGGTTTCACGTCATCAAAGCATTTCAAGACAAGGGCACGGAACTTCCGGTTAATATTCAATTCCTTGTCGAATCTATGCACTACAAAAATAGCCAAAACCTGGAAGACTTTATAACCAATAATAGACAAAGACTTTTTCCCGATATTAGCAGCACAATCGTGAATGATTGCGAATGGATGGGCGTAAAATATCCGTGTATTTTTTACGGATGTATAGGTATGGTCACTTATAACTATAAACACAGTGTCAAAATAACAACTATATTTTGTTGTAAAATTAAACATTAAAGATGTAGATACGTCTTGAAAACTATTTCTTTCAAAATAATAATGAAGTTGAGAGTAAAATCATAGAAGGCATGGAAAGGGGACAATGGTAGGTGACCATCAATGTTACCTTGCCTGTATAAAGAGCAACAGGCAGTTATAGAGATGGGGCTGTAACGTAGAGAAGTAAATATTAGGAAGAGAGTCAGACGGGGATGCACACTGTCACCACTATTTTTTAATCTATATATCGAAGACGCGATCAACATCATTAAAGACGGTACAACTGTAGGGATAGATATACAAGGGCAAAAGATTAGTATGCTTAGATTTGTAGATGATATAGCGGTATTAGCATCTAGCAAGGAGGAGTTTTAAATAAAGTGGAAGCGGTATTGACAAACAGTACTGTATGAAAATAAATAAAAGTAAAACAAAAATACTGGTATGCAAGGGAAGAAAAAGTGGGGAAAGAGCGAATATAAAGGTAGGAGATGAAAAATTAGAAGAAGTAGCCGATTTCAGGTATCTAGGAAGTCAGATAAGTCAGGACGAAAGGAGTAGTAGGGATATAAAGCAGAGGATAGCGCAGGGTCGTGTCGCCTTTAATAAAAAGAAGTCACTTCTATGCTCGCGAACAGTTAATTTAGAAATTCGAAAAAGGTTGTTAAAGGTGTAT